TACAGGCGCCCGCCACTGTGCCCGGCTAATTTTTTTCTATTTTTTAGTAGAGACGGGGTTTCACCATGGTCTCGATCTCCTGACCTTGTGATCCGCCCGCCTTGGCCTCCCAAAGTGCTGGGATTACAGGCGTGAGCCACCGCGCCCGGCCTAAAAAATATTTTTAAATTCAACCCAAACAAGAATGTTTTGCTCACCTTGCTACAAAATAAATTTTAAATTCTGAATAAAATGAAGTTTCTAAGAAAGTATAATATACCAAAACTTGTTGTACCAAGCTATTTGAACTGACTTCCACAGGAAGAAAGAGAGATTATCAAAGGCTACACACCCACCGCCAAGAGCGCTAAGTCAGTTTCTCTGGAGTAGTCAACTACTACTCACAATTCTAAAGCCATCTGCCAGGGGCCACGGCACAGGTCTGGAGTCCCAGCTACTCGGGAGACTGAGGCAGGAAGATCACTTGAGCCCAGTAGTTCAAGACCAGCCTGGGCAAGATAGCAAGATCTCGTCTCCATATAAAAATTATTTTAATAAAAGAAAATTATAAAGCTGCTTATACTTACCCAGAAAAGAGAAACAGAGACACCTCCAAGTTGTTACAAGAAGTAAAAATAACACTGATATTAAAGCCTAACAAAGAGCAAACAAAAAGTGTACTGTTCACTGATTATATTCAGTGGAAAAATCATAAAGCATTGCAAGAATAATCCAACATTAACTAAGAGCAAAACATAATCAAGTGCAGTTTATTTAGGAAATGAAAACATCGTTCAACATTAGACATTTATTATCAAAATTAGTTACACTGATCATGTTTAATAAACACCAGATGTAAGACTCAGAAGAAGACATGAGTAATTCCGTCACCACCGTATGTTAACGCTGTACTGAGGTACCAACTAATGTGGTCAGATAACTGTTCCAGAAAGAAAGTGGAGGGTTTTTTTTTTTTTTTTTTTTTTTTGGTAAAAGAGAAGATAACATCATCGTGTGGAAAAATACTCAAACTTTTCCTCTACTCTCACAACACAACAATCAACACAGGCGTCTTCTGAGAGCAAATGTGGGGAGGGGGCCTCCCCACACACCAAGCAAGCAAGTAGTTCTGCGGGACACCCCCTGGGTGAGCTGTCCTCCAATTCAACTCAGTTCTGCCACTCCCTACCTGGAGACAGCGCCAGATCCCACAGGTTGTTGGCTCGGTCCCCAAGACTGCCCCCAACTGTGACCCGTCCTTCTAGCTGACCAGCTATCAATCGGGACTCCCACATCCCCTTTCTTGGGTTTGCTTAACTAGCTAGAGCAGCTTACAGAACTCAAGGAAATACTTATCTACCTTTACTGCTTTATCATACAGCATTTATTAGAAAGGATTCAGATGAAGAGATGCATAGGTACGGGGGAAGAAACGTGGAGCTTCCATGCCCTACCCAGGGGTGCAACCCTTGAGGCGTCTCCATGTGTTTAGCTATCCAGAAACGCCTGGACCCCAGTCCTTTGGGTTTTTATGGAAACTTCATTATATGGGCATAATTGATTACATCATTGGCCACAGGTGATCAGCTTAACCTTCATCTGCTCTCCCCTCCCTGGAGGGTGGGGGTGGGGCTGAAGGTCCCCATCCTCTAGTAACGCCTTGGTCTTTCTGGTGACCAGCCCCATCTTGGAGCTAGCTAGGGGCTGCCACCCACCTGTCAGTCATTAAAATACAAAAGACATCACTGTGGAGATTCTAAGGATTTTCAGAGCTGTATGTCAGGAAAAGGGGTCGGAGACCAAATGACTATTTTATAATATCACAGACGGCTATTTGCAAATAATTGCTGTAGGCTACAAATAATCAGATCCTATTTATGGTAGCAATAAAAAAGATTAGGTTTTCAGGAATAACCACCAATAAGATTAATAAAGTTTTCTGAAGAAAACTACAGAAACAACAGACACAAAAGAAGACTTGAAGAAATGGAAGATATACCAGGATTAGGACAGGAAGACTCAACAACCTGAAGATGCTAACTCTCTGAAATGTATCACGTAGTAGGATCAAAATAAAAAATACCATATTTTTGAAAACTAGACAAGCTTGATTATAAAGCTAACGTGGAAAAATTAACAAAAAAGTAGTACCAAAAAAATTGGAGGGAAGGCCAGGAGCAGTGCCTCACGCCTGTAATCCCAGCACTTTGGGAGGCTGAGGCGGGCCGATCATGAGGTCAGGAGATGGAGACCATCTTGGCTAACACGGTGAAACCCCGTCTCTACTAAAAAATATTTTTAAAAATTAGCTGGGCGTGGTAGTAGGCGCCTGTAGTCCCAGCTACTCGGGAGGCTGAGGCAGGAGAACAGTGTGAACCCGGGAGGCGGAGCTTGCAGTGAGCTGAGATCCGGCCACTGCACTCCAGCCTGGGCAACAGAGTGAGACTCCGTCTCCAAAAAAAAAAAAAGAAAATTGGAGGGGAGTGGGAAGTTACCTCAGACAAGGATACATGTAGAAAGCCTCAAAAATTAATAGATTAATTAAGAAGAATAATGGTTAAAAGAACAGGAAGTCAGGCCAATGAATCAGAATAATGAATCCAAAACTAGACCCAAATGCAAACAGAAGTTCAGCATATGGTAAAGGCAGCATTTCAAATCAGTGAGTAAAAGATAGATTATGTAATAAATGATATTGGAATTGGTAACTATTTAGAGGGGAGAAATTGGATTCGTAATTCAGGATAAATTTCAAAGATAAACGATTAGGGTATTTTGTCTTGTTTGAAAAAAAATTACTTTCTAAAAGTAACAGAACACCTGGAAGAATTCCTTTATAATTTTGAAAAATGCTCCCTAACTGTAACTGTAAATGCAGAAGTCACAACAGGAAGGACGGATAGATTTGACCACATCATCTATAAGATGACCAGTGATCCAGCCAGAAAAGAGGAAAGGAGTAAGAACAGACAGTCAAAGAAAATGAAATACAAACAGCTCATAAACCTGTGGAAAGACCACCTCACTCGCAATAAAAAATAAATGCAAAGTAAAATAACTCTATTCCTTTTTTTCCTAGTAGGCTGACAGAAACCTTTAGAAAACTGATAACATGCTCTGTTGGCAAAGATGCAGAGAAACAGGCCTCTAGTGTATTGCTGATGATTGTGTGAACTGGTGCAAGCCTAAGGATGGTCCTCGGTAATAATCACTCAAAACTGCAAATAAATATACCCATAACCCAGCAACTTCACTCCTGGGAATGTATCCTACAAATGCATTTTCACATGTGGGAAAATACGTGTACATAATATACAATGACTGCAAACTACTCAAACATCTATTTATACAACACAGGGTTAAAAAATCTGGTGTATCCACTCAATTCAGTCAAAACTATGCAACTGTAAAATAGAATGAGGCTGCTCTCTGTGAACTGATACGTGAGGATTTCCAAGGTAAATTTTAAGTGAAACAAAGCAAGGTGTAGAAGAGTGTATATAGAATCTATAATTTATATATAAAAGATAAATAATCTTTTCATGTTTATATGCTTAAAATTTTGGAAAGTATACACAAGAAAATAATAAAAACGACTAAATATTGGGAAGTGGGAGAACTGGATGGATGGAGAATAGACATAGGAGGGAAACTTCTCAATAAACATCTTTGTATATGTTTTTGAGCTACTTGACTAAAAAGGCATATTTTAAAAATGAAAGGTATAAATGAGCACATGAATATATTCTAAAATTATTGTGAAGATCATATAAGATAACCCAGAGCCTTATACAAAGTTGACGCTCAATAAATGCTAAGATCCTTCCTTCTACATGGGGTAAGGACGTATCAGCTGAAGAATGATGAGGTTCATGCATTTGGACAGGAGGGCATGATTTCTCAGAAACGGCTGCAGCCTGCAGGTGGCTCTTCCGACAGGCTGGGAAGTGCAGCCTCCAGCCAGAAGCCAGAAACAAGCACTGCAAGGGTGGGAAGAAGAAGACAGGGATTTATGCTGAATGGGGCTGCCAAATATGCATATTCAATGAGCTCTAGGAAGAGTCATGAATATTTATGAAAGGAGAAACAGGCACATGCACACTGAGCTCCATGCCTCTCTGTGGGATCCATGTGTAAAAAATGGTGGCATGAGCAAGATCCAAGGGTGGAGTTTTCAGCCACATGATGTCAAAAGGTGAAGCAGAGGACACAGGAACCCTCACTGTGCCTCTTCTGCAGACTCACAGAACCACTCCAAGGTCGGTGGCTTCAGATCAGGAAGAGAACACTGGTGAGCTGTTTGGTCAAAACCACAAAAGGGAGGGACAGCATCAGGCCGTTGCTGAAATGAGTATGGAGCTTCTAGCCCGCAGGGAGGAGAGCCCGATGGTGGTCAGTGAGGTGGGGGTCTCATGAGGCATGCTTCCCTCCTGTCACGGCCAGGACTCAGTTCTAAGGTTTCTCTGGGTGCCCCTTGGCCAAGAGGAGGTCCATTCATTTGGCTGGGAGCTTAGGATTTCATTTCATTTCTCAGACACCACCACAAAACAGAGTGATGAGAGCCCAGAAGCAAAGCAGGAGGCCGGGGTATACGGCTCGTGACATCCTCGTGACAGCACCAGTGAGGCCCCGAGCAGGAAGACCTGCTGCTCTCAAAGAGCCTGCTCTGTGGGTCTCCGGACCCATCATCTCCAGCTTCTCAACCTCTGATAACTCAATGGCCACCTACTTTCTTTCTCTTTAAAAGTGAGCCCATGTCCCCCTATCTTTAGAAACAAACTTTGTTTCATCCTGCTAGGCCATCAAGTACCACTTCCATTTAACACCAAAATCCTTAATTAAAAAAAAAAAATACATGCACCATATGGAAATCTCTCCACTTCCCCTCCATCTGCTCCTTCCGACTTCCTTGAAATCTGGCTTTGATTTCAAAGACTTGCCTGAAGCTGTGCTCTTCAACAATGACCCCCTCTTGCTATTCTGATGGCATTTTCTCAGCCAGTCCTTATCCAACTTGTCACCTTTCCGCGTGGTGGTGCTGCTGCTAGTCCACTACTTGCAGCTCCTTCCTTAACTTCAGCGGCCCCGTGTCCCTTAGGGCCACAAACACTCATCGTCGATTAAGGTCCAGATGCTGCGCCCTGGAGATAATAACATCGCGCCGCTTAACAAAACGCTAACCAAAGTGGTCTGTCACTGACATCATCGTTTCTTCAGAAGACAGTGGATAACCATGCAGAAGCCCAGGGGACAGGACTCTGCCGCGGAGTCCACGGCCCACAGACGAGTCAAACAGAAAAGCAACAGCCCAGAACAAGACCCTGACTTCTAAGAATAAGCACAAGGAAGGTTCCCAAAGCAGAGGGAGCACCAGATGCCAAGGAAGTAGCTTATTGATGACGGTAACAGTGATAATGAGAAGAAAAAGATGTCTGCCTTTCCCATCAACACCTGCTGTGTTACACTTCAGTCAGCACTTGGTCTTGTTTAACCATGTAAAGGAAACTACTGGGGAGGCTGAGGCAGGAGAATGGCGTGAACCCGGGAGGCAGAGCTTGCAGTGAGCCGAGATTGCGCCAGTGCACTCCAGCCTGGGCGACAGAGCGAGACTCCGTCTCAAAAAAAAAAAAAAAAAGGCAGGGCGTGGTGGGCACCTGTAGTCCTAGCTACTGGGGAGGCAGAGGCAGGAGAATGGCGTGAACCCGGGAGGCGGGGCTTGCAGTGAGCTGAGATCACACCACTGCACTCCAGCCTGGGCGACAGAGTGAGACCCCATCTCAAAAAATAAAAGCTCAGGACCCCCAAATTCCTTAAGCAAAAGGAAAAGTTAAGCCAAGAGGGTGAGCCAGGCAACGCCCTCTTCCCCAGGAACAGCTGTTCGGAGCGTTAGGTATCAGACCCTGCAGAAAGACAAAAGCCTCAGGGCTTCGGAAGGGCTGCCCAACAGATCATTCCTGAGTCCATTCTTTCTTTGCTGGCATCCCATATAAACAAGAACATCTCATCGTAACTTCAGGTCTACAATCTGATTCTAGCTTAAAACTGGAGTCTGTTCCATTCCACGCTGCTCATGTCTATTACAAGCTTCGCTTCCCAGGTGCAGGACAAAGACAAGATTAGATCGGTCATTCCTCCACCTGCCCAGAGATATCTGCATTATTGATTCTTCCTTTACGCCCTTTTTTTCTCTTCAAACATTCACATTATCTTATGTAAAATGCAGATTTACTGGCACTAACTAAAGTCTCACAAGAATGTCATCATTCGCCTTACAGCCCACCTTCCCCTCTTCCGTGCCTTCCCCCCTTTAAGGAAACATATAAATACTGAGCCTCCTAAAAACCTCTTTAGAAAAACAGATACAGATGTGTCTGTGGCCGGTATTTTTCCAGATGCACCCTAAAGCTGGCTTAATAAACGTCAACGATTGAGACCTTTGCCTCAGTCACTCATCTCAGCCATCAGCCACATGTAACCATATAAAAGTTATACTACCATCCCCATGTTACAGATGAGGAAACTGGGGTTGGCTCCAGAGTACTCGGCAGTTCCGAGACGGGCAGGTGCGCGGCGGAGCTGAGTATGGGGACTGGCCTGGAAAGGGCCCTCAGCGTTGCCCACGTGGAGAGGGAGAGTGGAGGAGACACGGAGCAGCTGAGGAGTCCACAGGGAGCGAGGAAAGGGCGTGGCCCCAAAACCCCCTTTAAAGGGGTGGGTGGACGACAAGCCGTGGAGTCAGGCCGGGCAGCCGGGGAGGTGCGTGTGGTGCCAGGTGGGGCTGGAAGCTGGTTTTCCACCAAGGGAGCGGACTGGGCAGAACTCTGGCTGGAGGCATCTCAAAGGCTTAGTGCACTCTGCATCTCCACCTCTTGAAATCTTCCTCTGGGCCGGGCACGGTGGCTCAAGCCTGTAATCCCAGCACTGTGGGAGGCCGAGACGGGCGGATCACGAGGTCAGGAGATCGAGACCATCCTGGCTAACACGGTGAAACCCCATCTCTACTAAAAAAATACAAAAAACTAGCCGGGCAAGGTGGCGGGCGCCTGTAGTCCCAGCTACTCGGGAGGCTGAGGCAGGAGAATGGCGTAAACCCGGGAGGCGGAGCTTGCAGTGAGCTGAGATCTGGCCACTGCACTCCAGCCTGGGCGACAGAGCGAGACTCCGTCTCAAAAAAAAAAAAAAGAAATCTTCCTCTGGATCTTCCTTGCAGGATCAAAGCTCTGCTATCGGCCTCCCCGAGAAGTCCACACCCACGACTGCAAGTGTCACTTCAAAATGTGAAAGGAAAATAAAATCCTGGGACCCCAAACTCACTACGCCAGAGGGAAAAGTTAAGCTGGGAAACAGTCATGCAAAAAGCTGACTTTCCTTTTATTCCCATACAGATTGCTGCAGAGAGGCGGCCACATGGCTCCCCAGGAGGCCTCCTTCACCCTCACAATGTAAGTTAACAGCTCATCTTGGCAGGCGTGGCACGAAGACAAGACCAGAAATCATCCCTCTGCTGCCCTGAGACAAATGCGTACGTGACTTCTTTCTCTGCTCTGTGTTGACTTTATCCCGTGCGAAATGCAGATTTACTGAACAAGAGACGCGTGCGTCATCGACGTGCCTCTACCCTCCTTTCACATGTATTCAGGGAGCTAAAATCAAAGCCTCACAAGAACGTGACCACTCACCTCACCAGCTACCCTCCGCTGTTTGCTTTCCTCCTTTCCCTCCTGTCTGCTCTTTCCTCTTTAAATACTGAGGTTGTCAAAACCCTTTTTGGATCCTACTGTGACGTGTGTGTCTTTTTCCCCAGTGCGTCCTCAACCTTGGCAAAATGAGCCTCTAAGTTGATTGAGACCTGTCTCAGCCATTTTTCGGCTTACAGCAGACGGGGACTGGAGGTTCCAGATCAGCCCCAGCCCACACCAGTCCCTCCCCCGCTGCCCAGAGGCCTGGCCTCAGAGTCAACCTGCTCCGGCGAGAAGCCACCAGCTGACAACCCACAGCCTGCTTCTCCCTCTTCCCCGTTCTGCCACTGTTCCCTGCATACAGAAGGTCCTCGGGACATACTCAGAGAGTCAGTAATTTCAGAACTTTGTCAAAAAATAGACACTTGAGGCCAGCGCGGTGGCTCACGCCTGTAATCCCAGCACTTTGGGAGGCCGAGACGGGCGGATCACAAAGTCAGGAGATGGAGACCATTCTGGCTAACACAGTGAAACCCCGTCTCTACTAAAAAAAAAAAAAATACGAAAAATTAGCCAGGCATGGTGGCAGGCACCTGTAGTTCCAGCTACTGGGGAGACTGAGGCAGAAGAATGGTGTGAACCCAGGAGGCGGAGCTTGCAGTGAACCGAGATCATGCCACTGCACTCTAGCCTGGGTGACACAGTAAGACTCTGTCTCAAAAAAACAAACAAAAAACTAGACACTTGAACTCAAGATGGTTAATGGAGCACACACATGTAATTCATCTTCAAGATTTGGTATATGAACTCTGATGACTTTTTATTCTCACTCTTGCCCAGGCTGGAGTACAATGGCACGATCTCAGCTCACTGCAACCTCTGCCTCCCAGGTTCAAGCGATTCTCCTGCCTCAGCCTCCCAAGTAGCTGGGACTACAGGCACCCACCACCACGCCCGGCTAAGTTTTGTATTTTTAGTAGAGATGGAGTTTCACCATGTTGGCCAGGCTGGTCTCGAACTCCTGACCTCAGATGATAAACTCTGATGACTTTTTGAAGATTATATCCTTCTCTGAACTTGATTATTTCCTTCTTTATTGCAAATGTTCATCAAGGAAAAAACATTTGATGAACAAATGTTCATCAAAAAAAAATGTTCATCAACAAACATGGCGAAATCAAGGTATGAACAAATGTCCATACCAATATGAACAGATTAACCAAACATTTCAGAGTATTCACTGGAAATCCTTACACCTTATATACATTTAACGACAGTCACCAACGTCATATGCTGAATACTTTGTTCATCATGCACGTTTGTCATCATTCCTCTACTTTTAATATTACATTAAAGTATTATTTAACTCAGTTGCTGAGGGGTGTTTGTTTTGTTTGGAGTTTGGTGCCTCCTTAAACGTGGCACCTCACTTGAGTCACCGCTCTGCCAAATAAGGACCTGACGTGGAAGCAAGAAAAGAGCAAAGAATGTGAACACATTGGCTACTTCCAGCTCAGGATGCAAAAACTATCCTCGTTCCTTTTCCCACATCCAGCCCTCTCCTAACTGCCAATCCTGCCATTTCCATAGCACGAGAGCTCACTTTCAGGAGCTGAGGATAGAAAGGGGCATCCCTGGTGAAAGCGAATACGTGACACGCCGCAGCCAGGCACAGTGGCGGCGCCCACAGCTCCAGCTACTTGGGTGGCCGGAGCACGAAGCAAGATCCTGTGTCCACAAAAAGAAATGTATGCAGAAAAGTGAAATGGATAAAGACATATCTTTTAAAAGGCAAATTTCTAAAAAAAACAAAAGCTTTTTCTGTGGAGTGAGAAGGAAGGGGTTTTCTTTCTACTGCACCCCTTCCCAACTGCTTCTCCCTGAGCAAGCTTCATAAAAGCAGAAATCCAGAGAGATGCTGCTACCAATTTTGTAACTATTTGGAAGAAAAAGAAAACTGAGTCAAAGCGTTTTTGTGACACAAATTTACATTATCCATCTGTAAGGGGTACAGCCGAGTACAAAAAGAAGTGAGAAATATGGCCTGGTGCAGTGGCTCATGCCTGTAATCCAATCTATTTGGAAGGCCGAGACAGGCGGATCACCTGAGGACAGGAGGTCGAGACCAGCCTGGCCAACATGGTAAAATCCCGTCTCTATTAAAAAATGGCCGGGCGCGGTGGCTCACGCCTGTAATCCCAGCGCTTTGGGAGGCCGAGACGGGCGGATCACAAGGTCAGGAGATCGAGATCATCCTGGCTAACACGGTTAAACCCCGTCTCTACTAAAAAGTACAAAAAATTAGCCAGGCGAGGTGGCGGGCACCTGTAGTCCCAGCTACTCGGGAGGCTGAGGCAGGAGAATGGCTTAAACCCGGGAGGCGGAGCTTGCAGTGAGCTGAGATCCGGCCACTGCACTCCAGCCTGGGCGACAGA